AGGTGTCCATATTATAGAGGCAGGCTGGGATAATGTGAACAATAATTAATGGTTTGTGTGGGACCAAGTGAATTGTCTGCTATATAGGCATCTGTATATATTTAGTAGAGGTGCCTATATTAGAGACTTGAATTTCATCTGTGATCCCTGGGTTAATGGGTTAGTATGTACCCAAGTGAATAATTGGATGTAAATATACAGAATGAGGTGTCTGTGTTATAGAAGTGTCTGTAGTATGGAAGTGTCCATAGAGCCGTCTGTAAGGAGAGGTTGGTTTGACAGCAGTTTGTCATGAGATATAACATGGATATCCTTGTAGCTATGTCATTAACTAGTAAAGAGTTAGTAGATCAAACCTCAAAAGGTCTTTGTGCAGGGAAAAACTGTTAGCCCTAAGAACTAAGAGCTCTGGATTTTTGTTGCTCACCTTCAGGCTAACGATTGCTTTACAACCGCACTGCATAATCTCTTTCTATCAGATTGTACTTGACATAGTTACATAGTACTATATCTATGGTATTACCAGACTATAATGTAGATCACCAAGATGCAAGCTAACCTGCTTTGCCAAAATCCTCGCAGATTTTTCTATCTCTTTTCCATCAAGCCACTGTAAATGATCTAAAGTAGCAATGACATATTCTCTGTACCCTTCGTACTCTGTGCATGGGTTCCCTGTCAGATATCTATCCAATTGAAACAGAAATACATTCAAGACATGTGTCTCTCTATCTTCATGAAATATATTGTGCACAAAAGACTGTTTCACCAGATTTCTAAACAACAAGAAGAGAGTTGAACATATGATGTGAGGCAGAGTATATTTGACAAACTTTGGGGTGTTTGGAAGAGTGGTTTAACACTGTCTTGAGTGATTGATATCTCTTCTCGATCAAAACAAAAACTAATGAGAAAGCATAAAAGTAAATCGTAAATAAAATGTATGCTAATTAAGATCAGATATCCAAATACAGTGTATTGTCACAGTAAGTTATGATTTCCTTTGTTTAAACTTGATGAATTGTTAACAAGTTTTAGAAGTTCATTTCTTCCCACTCTGTGATTTGATACCTGAAACCAAGGGCTGACAATCAAGTTGTGTAGAGATATACCTGGAGAGTGGCGCCTGGGTAACAGTCTAGCAGGTACATACTATGTAAACCTTAAATTGAGTGCAACATTTATTTTTGGAGGTCAAATCTCAGAACTGAAGATACAAAGAGAGAAAGTTTGAAGCAGATGCTGTTGAAGTTAATTTGTCATAATTATTTATGAAATTTTATGATATGATTTCACTACTTGCAACCATTTATTGATAAATAAAATTTTTTAATTTTACTTTGATTCATCCAGATTCCAACAATTATTAGGCAAAGGAAAATTAAAATGTCAATTTAATTTGTAATTTATTAATGATTTGCAAAAAAACTCTCTAAGCAAATTCAAACCATAGCATGTAAAAAAAAAACTAAATTAACCATTTCAAATCAAATTGCTATACATATATAAATAAAATAAAAATTCCTTACAGCTCTTTGAAATGAAAATTTCCTTTGAGTGATTCAATACTTGTGAGTTCTCCTACAAAGTTAACAGTGAGATCCAACTTTTGTAAAGACTCACAGCCTATAAAATAGAGTGAAAAACAGTATAATTATCATTGAATGACTTTATACATGTACATCGTTTGAAGCAACTGCTAACAGACTAGGTGTAGGCAAGTAAAGTCAAGTCTGGCGTCAGNATCACAGCTCGTCCAAACCACATTTACATAATCAATTACCGGTCTTATCATAGTGTTATAGAAAATAAGTTGATGTTTTAGAGGTAGACTATTTAATTCTCTTTAAAATATCTATCCGCTGCGAGAGCTTTTTACTCAATTTCTCCAGATGAGGGATAAATGTCAGTTCTTGGTCGATTTCTAGTCCCAAAAGCTTTGCACAACGAACATTCTCCAGTTGTTTCCATTAACAACTACAGCAAGGTCATGGTTAATTCTGGTAGAAAGTCGCTTGCTAGTAATGTATGCTAGTGAAGATCAGATATCCAAATACAGTGTATTGTCACAGTAAGTTATGATTTCCTTTGCTTAAACTTGATGAATTGTTAATAAGTTTTAGAAGTTCATTTCTTCCCACTCTGTCATTTGATACCTGAAACCAGGGGCTGACCATCAATTAGTGTAGAGATATACCTGGAGAGTGGAGCCTGGCTAACAGTCTAGCAGGCACATACCATGTAAACCTTAAATTGAGTGCGACATTTATTTTTGGAGGTCAAATCTCAGAATTGAAGATACGAAGAGAGAAAGTTTTAAGCAGATGCTGTTGAAGTTAATTTATCATAATTATTTATGAAATTTTATGATATGATTTCAGTACTTGCAACTATTTATTGATAACTAATTCTTTGTAATTTTACTTTGATTCATCCAGATTCCAACAATTATTAGGCAAAGGAAAATTAAAACATCAATTTAATTTCTAATTTGTTAATAATTTGCAAAAAAACTCTCTAAGCAAATTCAAACCACAGCATGTAAAAAAAAACTAAATTAACCATTTCAAATCAAATTGCTATACACATATAAATAAAATAAAATAAAAATTCCTTACAGCTCTTTGAAATGATAATTTCCTTTGAGTGATTCAATACTTGTGAGTTCTCCTACAAAGTTAACAGTGAGATCCAACTTTTGTAAAGACTCACAGCCTGTAAAATAGAGTGAAAAACAGTATAATTATCATTGAATGACTTTATACATGTACATCGTTTGAAGCAACTGCTAACAGACTAGGTGTAGGCAAGTAAAGTCAAGTCTGGCATCAGTATTTGCCAGCTCTTATGGATGAAATCAATGCTAGTCAATGCTGTTCTGAGCAGGTTACTTAGACCCAGAGATCAATGTGTTGTTCTAGAAATATCATACTCTCCCTGTTGGTTTTTAATTTAACCCCCCACCCACTTCCCTCCTCAACCCTCCAGAAATTCCAGTTAAACCTCATTCTTCCTTCAGACTCTTTAGACCCCAACCACCTGGGAATTTCCAATACATGTATTTCCTTGGGTTTGGATATTTTCTGGAACTGTACATTGCCCCTTGTCCCTCTTCTTTAGAGACTAAAAGCCTTACTTCTCCTACTAGGCATGTGCTAATCCATCATCAATATCAAATCCCATAATAGACATGTACTTACCTCAGACACCTGAATATTGTACAGATGTAGTGTGAAAATTCTAGCAAACTGAGAGGCTGACATTTCTCTTAAATAACACTACACAAAAAGCCAAATATTTGGGCTTGAATATATATGGATCAGTACTAACCTGGGATCACAAATTTTTTGGAGGAAGGGTATGAGTGCAGGTGAGATCAGTGCATGCCTTGTATTCCAAAGTATTCTGAGCTTTTCAAGGCACGTGGCACAGAATATTTTATTAGAATCCAGCCTGCTTTTTCCAAATTTGACTTGAATAAAGACATGTACATCCTTTAATTTTCCAGGTCTACTGCACATGTTGTGTGTACCTTGCATACTCTAGGTGTTATGGTTATACATTTGAGACTAGAATACTTGAGGATATCTTCACTTTGGCTCAGTGTAACCTGATTAATATAGACATAGACCTCCCTCCTCCACAGAGGCTCAAAACGTTTGTTATAGAAAGCCGCTGTGCAAGGTGTGTGCAAGTGCAAAGTCGACCCAGCGCCTGCACTCATATCATTCAGTAGATTCTCCACCCACCCCCCTCACCCCCCCACAAAAAAAAAACCTTTGAGCCTCTGCAGAGGAGAGAGAACACAGACACTTTCTATGGCTCTGTGGTTTCCATGCTGAAATTCCATAACTTCATCAAGATCTCTCACCTTCAAGATTTTCAATCCTTGTTATATTGTTCAGTGCCAAATTAAGATATTCTAGCTTCTTCAGTCTACCAACATTTTCTGGAGAAAAAGAATATCTTAGATATTGTCATAGATAAATAGAAGGGATATAATCCAAGAGGTAGGAGATAATAGTTAAAGTCTGTTAAAATCTGAAGCAGTATTCCACCAGCATGAAATACTTTAAATTTGGACCCCTAAACAACACCATACTAAGAGGAGAAAAATGAAATGAAAAAAATCAATTGATATATTCTTATGATTATATTGTCTGAAACTGGCCAGTCAAAGTTTTCTCCTTCCCTTTTAATCTGTTCTTTTCCTATGCTTGTGTTAAACATTGAATTACTAATAGTAAGATATAACTGAATTTCACCCTGGGTAAACAAACATTTCTCTTAGTTAGCTTACAATCAATTCATTCCTTATAAGAGATTAAGACAAATAGCACCTATGTACAATGGACTTGCAAAGGTTCCAGATTTCAATCCTGTTAATGCCCTAATTTTGAAAGGCTTCTTTATAGAGACTACGAGTACTTCTGAAATAGTTCATTAAATTTCTTTTCCTTTAAACTGTTGGTTCCCCTCTGTTTGCAGACCCATTTGTTCATGCAACTTACCTATCTTTGGTATCAGATTGCTCTGCAAGTACACAATTTTGAGATCTCTACACAGTTTATCTAGAAGTTCAATCCTGGAATAAAGGCAAAAAAAGACTTAATCAATGCAAGACAATGATAATCATCAGGAAAACTGCTTGTCTCCAAGTGGAAGTTATATTAGGAGGCCTTTGTAATGCACGTGCTAATAATACATGAAATTATGCACAGTAGGGATGCACAAGTCAATACTGGGAAATGACCTTAAGTAACCCGGCTATTGCTACCCCCTGTATGAGACACTATTCCATCCTTACTTTACTCCAGGGCGTAGAGGTGAAGTGAGAGGGCTCAAACCTAGATTGCTCTATCCTGAATTCAATACACTAACCATTTGGCCACCACACCACCCATATGGTAACCACTTTAATTTTTATAATGCCGAATTGGTCATGCGGTGCACAAAAGGGTAACAAATTAAGGTTACAGTATACCTTCAGGTCGGCAATTTTCTTCAAATTTGGATTTTTGGGT